CAACGTTGAATCGACGTCAAATACCAATGTTGTATCGACGTCAAATATCAACATTGCCTCTTCAGATACCAGTCAATTTTGAAACAACGGCAAACATAGACGTTGACAAAATAATTGTTAACGTAAGATTGATCGATGTCAAATGTCAACACTGGCTCGATGTCAGTTATGAACGTATAAACAACGTCAAATGTCAACGTTGGCTCGATTTCAGATATCAACGTAAAAGTCCGATATCGACGTCAACAAATCGGTTTCAGATGTGCTGGTCCTCAAGGAGAACATTTCTCCTGCACTTAGCAGGCCACCCTTATTTAAGTACTTTTCATGCTGAAACGTCAAGATCCTAAGCACATTATAGGTTAAGCCTAAACATGTTTAGCTTTAAATCTCAATAGAGATCATTTGAAGGTTTGTGTTTAAAATCTAAACACTGTTTTACCGGGTTTTACAATTCATCGTACCACGTCGACGGAACTTATGTATAGATAGAATGGATCAACGTTGAATCGACGTCAAATACCAATGTTGTATCGACGTCAAATATCAACATTGCCTCTTCAGATACCAGTCAATTTTGAAACAACGGCAAACATAGACGTTGACAAAATAATTGTTAACGTAAGATTGATCGATGTCAAATGTCAACACTGGCTCGATGTCAGTTATGAACGTTTAAACAACGTCAAATGTCAACGTTGGCTCGATTTCAGATATCAACGTAAAAGTCCGATATCGATGTCAACAAATTGTTGAATAAACGTTGGATTTCAAAAGTAGATCGACATCAAATATGAACATTGACTCGACGTCAGATATGAACGTTAAAAGGACGTCAAACATCGGCGTCGATAAGGGCAAACATAGCATTTGAAAGGTGGATCGAAGTGCGCCAAATATGGACGTTGGATTGACGTCAAACATCAACGTACAAACAACAACGTCAAACATAGACGTCGACAAATTATTGAATAAACGTTGGATTTCAAAAGCAGATCGACATCAAAATGAACGTTGGCTCGATGTCGGATATCAACGTTAAAACAACGTCAAGCATCGACGTCGATAATTGGGTAAACGCGGTTTGAAAGGTGGATGAAATATGGACGTGGGATTGACGTCAAACATCAACGTAGAAACAGGAACGTCAAACATAGACGTCGAAAAAAGAAACCGTTGGATTTGAATAGTGGATCGACGTTAAATAGTCAAAATTGAATCAACTTTTTATATGACGTTCAGTATCAACATTCGATCAACGACAAATAACAACTTTGGATCAACGTCAAATGTCAACATTCGATTGACATTCAATATTAAATCGACGTCGAAAAGCCACGTTTGATCTACGTCAGACATGTAAACGTTAAGGTATCACCATACATCCACGTTGAAACACCTGCGTTTATCGACGTCGTTACGTCATTTTATTTTTGGATAAAAACGTCAAAAACACGTCAAGATCTAAGCACGTTGTAGGTGACACGTTTAGCTTCAAACGTGTCTCCTACAAGCGGAACCAGATAATGTAAAGCTTTGTGTTACACACTGTTTTTACAGTTAGATATTAAAAAGATACCGTAATAAGCTAAGCTGTTTGCTGGGCATAAATTAAGCTTTGGTGTTTCTCTGAACATAGTAAATGCAGAAACAGGACCCTGGGGCAATTGTACAAAAATGTACTGTTGTAAATGTTTAAGAGGAAATGACACATTGCAAGGGGACTAGCATGTTAGGTCAGTGTGTCCGAAGGGACCGACACTAATAGGTTTACCCAGAGGTGACCAATTCCAAAGAAATGATAGATTACAATATTTTATTTATTTTGCAATGTACCTTGTACATTATCATTCTGAAGAGGATGCAAAGAAATAAGACCTATATTTACCATATATTAAAATTACATTTTATTTGAACGCAAACATTAGATTACCAAATTTGGTTGAAATTGCAACAATAATTATTGTTTGTCAGACTCGGCAAGAATATGGTTTTGGGCTCTGTGAACCCCCTTTTTTGAGCAAATCTGCCTCAATAAACCAAGCCACCACTTCTCTTTGATAAACAAAAATAAATAAAAAAATTAAATTAAAAAAAAATTATGATTAGGCCTATTTTTTCAATTTAAAGCTTATTTTGCTCTGGGCGACGCTCCAGGTGGCGTCATCGGCCACGTCATTCACAGGAGCTCCTCCCCTAGACCTCCACCATTATCGTCTAAGCGCTTTTTGGACGTTTCTGTAAATTGTGTCTTTCATCATTAAGGCAATCTATTCTAGGACATCTATTTTAACAAGAGCGGATAAAAGGTATTTTCCCGGCTCTTAACGATGGTTGCCAGGATATTTCACAATCATGATAAAAGAGTAAAATTTCAAGAGAATATAAGAAAGAAGCAATAATAAACAAGAGTTGAAATCCATCATCTCCACTTTTCTATAGCCTGTCACATTCAAATTTCCCGGGTCAACAAGCAAAACGCGTTTGGTGTTTTTTGTGGTTTTTTTTGTAATCTTTCTGTAATCTAGGCGTATGGTTCTAATTTTTAGTTCTAACATTTTCAAAAGTGCCAAGTTATTAAAAACAAATCTGAATTGATAATTTCCACTGGTTGAACTATCATTCTGAACATTTAAGTATATTATAGTACCGTACGTCAACTCTGTTCTCGTACTTGTTTGTGAACTCAAACTTTGAGAAATGACAATTTGGTCACACTTTGGTAGTGGGTTGGACGCAATAATATATCTACAGTATTTATGGGATCCAATCCTGAAAGTTTGCGGAATGCTGGCAGTGGCGTAGCCAGAATATTCCTGTATGGGGGCCAGTATGGGTCCGTGTATCATGGGGGGGAAACAAGTGTTCTGATCGACGAGGAACCAAATGCAGGGGCCAGGGGGCTGCGAGGGCCTGGGCCTGGGGGCGCTGCCCCCCCCCCCCATCCTTGGCTACGCCACTGAATGCTGGTGCCTAAAACTTCCACACCCTGTGCCAACCTCTTCAATTTTAGATATCGAAACATTGTGAGACGGGCTTTAGGCACTATCAATTTTGGTACTACTCAAAGAAAATTTAGCCGGTTAAAGTATTTTACAGTATTTGACTTATAAATCATAGTTATAAACATATAAGTGCCGTGAAACCAAGGAGGCAGAGCCTGTGTGTTTGTTAACGTGTGCATTTCGTAAAATTTCAAATATATCAGGAAGTTGCAGCGGGCATTTCTATTTCCACCACCAGTCAGACACGAGCCGCTTTTCAAGCAAACGTTACGTGTCTGTATGCCGTAGGGGCCTACCTTTTTTCAATCGGTATACACTGTGCGCACCACGTCACGGTGGATCCAGGAATTTGGAATGGGGGCCGGAGGGACTTTGACAGATTGAGGGTTTATACCACCTTATCAAAAGGATGGTTGGGGTTGACGTAAGAAAATTTGCGATTATGGCACCTCTATACTATAGACACCTACTAATCCATATACTGTAGATGAAAATACAGCGCGCTTCCATTCAAATCACTGTACCAACATGGGCATGATTAGACAATCAAATACGTCAATGAAAAAAAACAATTTTTTTTTTTTACTTTATCCTAAAGTTTGGTCAGACAAGATCAATAACGTAGCAAAGAAGCATGAGGCTCTGGCTAAAGTTTCTTGGGCGCAGCACTCTGGGGGTTGGGGACTCGATAGTAATTCATTTTTCATTCAGGTATAGAAAAAATACAAAAACTAGCCAAAGGCTAAAAACATTTATATTGTATTTAAAAATTAAAAATGAATATTTAAAAATTACATAAAAATTGGAAAAAATAATTACAAAATACATCAATATATGCCTATGCTGTGGTGAAGCTCCTGTCCGTCCCGGCGTTTATGCCGTGTTTTGATGCATTTTTTACACATTACGATTAAAGGCGTTCAATCGGCCAATTTTGGGGCTGCTAGTCCGGGCAAAAAGAAAATATATCATTTAATATCCCGGGAGTCCTAAAGGTCCAGGCCTCTGGCATTAGCAAGTCAGAGCTCTGTTACTGTTACGCCACTGCACAATGTTTTCTTCATATGATGAGTGTCTCAACCTCATTGAGTTTTCCATCATCTTTGGGAAGTCCAAAGATATTCTTCCTATATCATAGCTAAATTCAAAATTATTGAAATGATAGATATTTGGTGTATCTTTTAGTTGTGTATGGGTGCTGAGCCACATCACTTGTCTGGGTTGGCAGTGCACTCTTATTTTTCATTCCTTTGTATTTTTTTTTATTTATGCGTTTGTAAATAGTTGAACTCATAAATTTCAATTAGGCCTACTGTAAAGTGATTTGAATCACACTCATCTTGATGGCTAGGATTACATTTTTCGCCGTATTTATTTATTTATTCCTTCGTTCGTCCGACCGCCCGTTCGTTTGTTCATTTATATTTATTTATTTATTTATTCAGGAAAAGCAATCACAAAAACAAAACAAACACATTCGTTCACAAATAAAAAGAATAGTTCCTAGGAAGATTCAAAAGAAACATAATGCCACTATCATCAGCAATGTGAACCTCCACCAGAACGTGTCGTAGATCACAACGTAAATCAAATAATCTATTAATATTTTGTATGTGAACAAACAATATGCGTTGTGTACATAAGGTAGACTGATTCATTGCTTCATACACAGGGAGAGCTTGTTCGCAATGTTCCTTGTGAGTTGTGACTTGGTTGTTGCCCCTCCCCCTCCCCTCTCTCTCTGTCTGGAGTAGATTTTTATATTATTTTTAATTGCCAATAACAATATGTAAGACAAGTGTATGTATTTTGTTAATCAAGCTAATCGTTTAATTCATTGTTTAATATTTGTGTTCGTTTTGTAATTTGTGTAACGTGGGTGCACCACCTTTGTGTGTGTCACCAATATAAGTGTGAAATTGTCAAATAAATACTTAGTTATAATAACTAATTTTAGTTAATTTACCAAACGACAAAACACTTGATAATACCATCTCAATTTATTACTGTCATTTTCATTTTATTCATTTGGGAAACACAGAAAAAGAAACAATTAATGTAAGCGTTCTTTAACAATATATTATGAAATATACGCCATTAGGGAGTATTAGAAATGACTAAAGGAGGGAGGGCGTAGGCCAACCGTACGTGTATTAGCAAACTTTTTAATGTTTTTATAAAGCACACAAGAACGGTACTGTATCGTATATAATAAAGCATGCATATTTTAAAGTAGACATAAAGGTAAGATACTAAAATTGGGAGTGTATTACGTTGTTACTTCAAAAACTCCTTATTGGCAGAATGTATAAAAAAATAAACAACTACTTATCAAAAGTAATTTATACAAGGTATATTTTGACAAAGACAGAAAACGATAAGAAATATATAGAACGAATGCTAAATTGCTAAAATAATACAGTACAGTAGTACAAATAGGGTATTTTCTAAAATATCGCTCAATTATGCATACCGGTCTTCTTTTAATTAAACATTAGGCTCTATAAACTAGGCGGATACAATATTTGACGGGATTGCATTGCAGCTAGATTCATGGAAATGTGTTAAGCTAAAACAACATAGGGCGTATTTAAAATATTTAAAAAAATCAATATATTTAAAATAACATGATAATAATTATAACATGATTCTTAATTTTACCAAAGTGTACTATTGCTCCAGCGATATTTCTGGTCTACATACCCACGTTTAACAGCGTGAATTCCTGTAAAGAATTCACGCTGTTGACAAAGATCCGCTGTATGAAACACACACAATACCGTACTCGGACTGGAAAAGCGCTCTACCAGCAGATCAAGTTATAATATCAAATCAAGTTATAAGCTAAGTTTCGTACCAGCTAAAAGTCACATTTGTACACTTCTCCATTACAGTAGACCATTCCCGGTCTGGGAGAAAAAAAAATCATCGGGAGAAAAAAAATCTATGTATTTTTTACAGAATGTAAGACCCTAAAATCGGTAAGCCTTTAAAATTCCTAAATTACTGAACCTTTGAGGGGTTCTGGCCTACTGTTAAATCAGCCTAGGCCTCTTGCAATTTGTCTATTTTATTCTGCCATATGGACCACAATTTCACCGTCTGATGATGCGTCTGAGCTATCTCTTCTGGAAGTCTTTCTTGGTGACCCATTTTCATCGAACCCTTTACCCGAGAGTTTCCTTCGCTTGCTTGTCCTAGCACCATGGGTGCGTTTCAGATGACGACGCATTGACTGAGTGGTGGAAAACCGATCTTCACAAAGAGGACAGACGAATTTCTCATCGGACAAACCCATGGAATAGACACGATATCCTTTATTATCGTCACTTAATCTTCCTTTGTCCGAATCATTTTGATCTTGACAATCACTGACATTCGTGGCTCGACTGGATGGATCTTGAATTGAGTCTTGGTAAGACATTGGTGTCGGTTGGAGGTAGGACGGCTCTGACTCGGGTTTGGTTAATGAAGTCCCGTTGTCTGCTCCACAGCTTACATCATCACTATGTGAAAACTGGATACGATGGAAGCTCTGCATATGCCCACGTAATGCTATATCATCTGGAAACATTGCGTTGCACATAGGACAACAGTTTTCAGGAACACCAGTGTAAGTTCCCCTTTGCAACTGTGTCGTAGAATTTTTTCGAGTAGTTGATTCCGAGATGTCTTTAGTATGATCATCTTGTGGCTGATTATATTGGACTCCGTGCATACGTTGCATATGCTGCTTATAGGTAGGCTCGTCGTTAAAAGCTGCTCTGCAAACGTAACACTTGTAACGTGGAGTTGAAGTGGGTTTATTACTTTTTGTCACATGACTTAACATGTGTTTTTGGACTTGACTTTTCTTCGAAAACAACTTCGTACAATGAGGGCAAGCGAATTGTGTCATTCCGCAGTGGGATTTAAAATGTGCTTTTCTGTGCTCCTTTTTACTGAATCGTTTATCGCATAGTGGACATTGGAATGGGGTTTGACTACTATGTATTGCCATATGAAGTGTCAGATGTTTAACGAGACCAAATATTTTGTTACATTCAGTGCATGAGTAACCCTTTGACTGGTTGTGTTGTCGCATGTGATTTTGTAGGGTGGTGGCACATGAGAAAGTTTTGTCACATTTTGGGCATTTTAATGACTTTTTACTACGAACAAGCTCAGCCTCAGTATGCGACTGAAAGTAGTGCTGTTGCATTGCTAGAGTATTGAGAAACACTTCTGGACATAAAGGACATCTACATACGCGCTCTTTGGCAGTGTGGGTTTTCATGTGGCTGTAAAGGTTCGATCTGGATATGAATTGTCGTCCACATTCGTAGCAGCGGTATTCTTCACGCAGTCGACCATTTTCAAAGTGATGGTAGCTTGCCACATGATTCATTAATTCAGCCGAAAAGAAGAAGGTCTGACTACAAAGGTCACATTTATGGTCACGCCCATCAATACCATGTTCAATCGCGTGCGCTTGGATATCCATGGCAAAAATGAACTTGCCATCACATTTTGGGCACTCGTAGTTCTTATCCGTAAAAGTGTGGTCGATTAAATGACACTGCAACTTTGCAGGAGAATCGAAGACTTCTTTACAGAGTTTACACTCATGATAAATACCTTCTGCTAACATGTGTGACGTCACGTGCGCGTGTATTTCACCCTCTGATGCAAATGTTTTTTGGCATTTGATGCATTGATAAGTCTTTTTCTTGACTTCTTCGTGAACTGATGCATGTTGTGACAGTTCTGCTTCGCTTTCAAACTTCACATTACAATGACAACATCGAAATTGGCCAGGTTTTGTTGTAGTACTTCCTACAGCGGGTCTCGAAATCTCATTTGGATACTGTGTATCCAATGAAATGCATTTCAGGCAGACCGGTGACTCGTCGTTGTTTGTTGGCCTGAAATTTTCACCACACATAACACAATTTTGCGGTTTGGAATCATCTGAAGAAGATGTTTGGAAATGAAAATGGGCGTGGATTCGAAGATTTCGTATTGATGTTAGATGTAGCATACACACTACACAATAATATGAGGCTTCTTCACCAGCAATATACTGTTTATGTTTTTTCGAATGGTAGACCAGATCGTTTTCTCCGAGAATAGCATTGCGACAGAACATACAAACGATACCTGATGTTTGAGAGGTTGATTTGAGAACTTTCAACAGGGTATTATTTGCATTGGATTTGAGCATGTGTAAACCTTGACCATTGTCATAATAACTGCTACTGGCACCAGGTGATGAGATTGGAGTCTGTAAATCAGGTGTCAACCTCCTGGACTTTATGTCGTGTTCTTTAGCGTGGTGACGTTCAAGTAGTGTTTTCAGTGGAAACTTCTCGTCGCAGATTTGGCAGATAAAACAACCCTCTTCACCATCGTCACTACTCTGGTGCGGAGACTTCTTAAGTTGCCTTGGTGAATCTAAACATGGGGCATTAACAGATTTGATAACTGGTGGTTGTGCAGGCTCATGTGGAGATTTAGAGGATATCCCGTATAACGGAACGGTGGGACTCAAGACGTTTTTATGCATTGACTTCATATGCACATCAAGGCTTGGGGCCTCATTATAGGTCGCATTGCAGTATGGGCAACGATAAATGAGGTTGTGCGTACTTAAGTGGGACTGAAGCTGGAGTGTTGAAGTGAAGATAAGTCCACAAACGTTACATCGTTGGCCGACTTTCACATGCTGCATCCGGACGTGCATAAAAAGATCTTCTTCAAGGCGGTAGACAACGCCACATTGACTGCAGCTGTACAGTCTACACTCGTTGCTGTGTTTAACGGCGAAATGAACTTGAATAGTAACTTTGGAGTCAAATACCTCCTTACAAAGGGCACACTTGTACAGATGATGAGCATGAATCTCAAAAAGATGCTTTTGAAGTTCATCGGGTTTTTTGAAGGACTTCCCACAATCTCGACAAACGTATTCCGAAGTGACAACTTTGAAGTGGTTAACAGCGTGAACCATGAGTTGTGATTCACTTTTGAATTCATTTCGACAGCTAGGGCACGAATAATAACTCTCATTAGCAGCGTCTTCAGAAGAAGCTGGTTCCTGGTTCGCACCATCTAACGTGGACGCTACTTCTCCAGCTGTCACTAAATTGTGGTCGTTCTTTAAGTGATTTGTGAGGTCTTCCTGTGTGTTGAAATATAATTTGCAGTCAGTTTCTGGACACAGATGCATTGATGGTCGATTACTCTTGTGATAAACTTCTATGTGCAGCTGCAGCTGTTCTATGGAATCAAATAGGTTCTGTTTGATGCAATAAGGGCAAGGATATCGCATTTTGTTAAGACTTTCGGTGTGTGTACGATTGATATGTGTTCTTAACACCTCCTCACTTTGGTAACTTTTTGTACAATGCGGACAGTTAAATGTGTTTTGCTCCTTTGTACTTGAACTATCAGTACCATGTGATTGCGATATATGCTCTTTGAGAGAACGATCTGATGGGAATGATACACGACACTGACTGCACATGAAACGGCCGCCAGGATGCCAGGACTGAATGTTTTCTTGAGATGGATGACTGCTGCTCATGTGAGCTTGCAATGCGTCGCTGCTTACGAAAGTAATTCGACAAAAGATACAAGTATTATGCGACAGATTCTCAACATCTGTTGCAATCGTTGTGCTACCGTCTGGATGCATTGATGATAAGTGTTCTCTTAAATTGTACAAGCTGTGATACTCATTCCCACAGTGAAGACATGAGTACACGTGCATGTAACCCGATTGGTGTTCACTCTTCTGATGCTTGAGCAAAGCTTGCTCGTTTTCAAACAACATCTCCGGGCATATGGGACACTTGAACTCCAGTTCGCCTTCGTGGTTAGTACCCTCATCTAGAACACTAGCAGATACCTTAGTGTGTTCATCTTTGACGTGTTTTTCCTTTTCAATTGCGCTAGGGAATGCTTCATTACAATCTCCACATTTCCATAATTTCTGAGCTTTTGTCTCCTGGTACACAATATCCTGTACACCGACGGATAGAGCGTACTTATGGCAAGTCTGATAGTGCGAAGTGAGTGTTGCTAATGTATCAAACACACGGTTACAAATAGTGCACTGGAACTGCTTAGTTGTTCCATGAGTTCGAATGTGAATTTTTAGGTGATCGCTGCGAGCAAAGCAAGTATTACACTCTGAACATTGGTACTTTTTGTCACCAGTATGTAGTTTAATGTGTCTATCTCTACTACGTTTGTGCTTAAACAAGCGGCTACAATAATCGCACCGGAATGGCATTTTGTCACTGTGTATCTGCTCATGACGTTTCAAGTAGCTCAGCCGGCAAAATGTTTTGTTGCAGAACTGACATTGATAGGCACCGCCTTCCACACTCATTGGAGAGTCCTCGCTATCCATATTCTGTTCTGTAAATAGTAACAAAACACCAATCAGAATATGCTCTAATATATATACAGTATTGAACTTTTAATATGTTTTTATATTAATTTAAGTAAAACAAAACTATTATTAACATTATATATTTTTACGCTCGGTAACCGAGGAATTAAAGGTTAGTGAACATAGTTATGCTTTTAATTAGCATTGTGTTTAATAGGCAGATGTTGAAACACCGCGACTTATTGTTTTGGGATTTCATTGTAATTTCGGCGTTTAGCACCATTTCCTCTGTTGCATGTACCCCGTTTAGGCAGCTGTATGTAAACGAAAATAAGAACAGCGGAGCAGCGCATGACTTGATTGGCGATAACACGACGAAATGTGACAGTTGAAGCCCGGATTCGAGCTTCTGTGCATTCGTAGTAAACCTCCAGATAAAAGTTTACGACGCAACTGGCATACTTGGTACATGTAGTAGTGGCAACAGGAAAATTCCTAAGCCTCAATATTATAAGAATGTAATTCTCATCAAGGCTTATATTTTATTATTAAGTTGTTGTACTGTCAGCTCCTAGATAAGGAGTCGATGTTTTAGGCGATGCATTGTCAGATAGCCATTTGTTTTAAAATCTCAAGGTATAGGTAGGCCACATGTGGATTATGGAAAAGGAAAGTGAAAACAAATTTAATTTAAACAATCCAATCAATGACCTTCAAAATGAATGCTAATATCAGCTTTGAATTGATGTATCGAATTTAAAATTTCAATTAACGGCAAAATAGTTAAAAGGCAGAAACTTACCACTGATTATTACTGTAGAACAATCGGTGTTACGGTGATCCATGAACGTAGAAAGGTCGGCAAAAACACTGCCGCATGTGTCACAATTATACATTTCTTGCTCGTCATCTTCATCTATGACGTCATTTCCAACATCCATCTCCTCGTCTTCTCCAGCCTGGTTGGCACCATGCTCTTCCTTTGTAAAAACAGGGCCTAGATTGGCAACTGTGTTATCATCTGGTGAACAAAATATTTAAATAGAAAATGGACATATCAAAATTATTCGTACTGTATATTTTTGCAGACCACAATACAAGCCCTCGCTGAATATTAAATCATTATCATCATCATCTTATCATAATATAACGGCTAGGCTTACTCGGTATACGAAAGAGCACACTCAAAATTCTACATTATTGATTATCTAGACACGAAAATTACTGAACCCGACGGTAAAAAATTAAATAACTATATAGACCTACCTTCAAAGACATTCCTTTCATCTGGTAGAGAACTATTGCCATTGATGAATTCTTCCTCCCATGCATCTACCAAAAGATAAACGAAACCATCATAAAAAGAAAGTTATAAAAATGTATTTGTAGGTGACCACTATTTTAGTCAACTATTTCTTCTGTCTATTTTGGAAAATGCATTATTTTGTCTCAAAAGTATCTAGCTTGTGAGGTAGTATCTTGTTTCAAATGCTTGAATGTTGTTTAACTTTTATTGTGATGCAATCAGATTGAATTCGATACGCTGAAGGAAGTTTAGCTGCCCATAATTCTAACGATCTCTTTCATTTTGTAAATTTGTATTTTTGTCTATTTTATGTAATGCGCATTTGAATTTTTTTAAATGGAATTTGTGCAATATAAATTAATATTATTTATAATTATCTTGAGTATAATACAATAGAGTTATTAATTAGTGAGAATAACTCCATGGTAAGAATGGCCCGGAAAAAAATGGCCCAGGAAAAAACAGCCCCTGAAAAAATGGCCCCGATAAAAATGTCCCTAGTAAAAATGGCCCCAAATGACAAGTAGGTAAAAATGGCCCCAATGAAAAAATTCAGTAGTAGAAATGATATTTTTTTTAAATCTTCAAATATTTAAATACTGTAATAAGCAAGAATTGAATTAATAACCAATATATTTACACAACAGATGCAAATAATGTACAGTACTGAGAGATTATCAGAAAACAACGGCCATTGAACATTTTTTGATAGTTGAAATAAGTTTTGAAAATGTTATTCCACTAACAAAGTAGAGGAATGACATACATACAGTACTTCAACTACCAAAATATGCAACTCATAGATAACCACAAAATTCACTTTTGTTAAGTCTCAAATGAAATAACATTACATGTTATAAACAGTGCAAATAAACAGTAGTTAAAGCATGTGGATCAATTGTGTGTTTAAATGACAAGTTCATGTATGGGAAAAGAGAGGTTCACAAATGTTCTGCTTAGAGTTACTTCAAAGAAGTATTTGTTAATCAAATATTGTTTTTAAAGTAAACTGAATAATTAGGAATACATTCATTTAAGCAACTTATTTAATTGCATACTTGGGTTCTACTCCCCGCCAAGTAAATTTAAGTGCCTAAAACTATACCAAATAACGTAAATTGAGATAGGCCTACTATATTATATACATAGTTATGTAAATATGGAAATTATGCTAAGAATTAAAATGGCGTGTAATTGTGAGGGTAATGTAATTATGATAGGATCAAATGGTATTGCTAATTCCCAAAAACCTCCTAAAACACACTGTAGAAAACCAAACAATTCAATTGTGATTGACTTACTTTACTTACTCAATAAGAAAATTAAATATTTATAAGAACCTATTTTTTGGTTAAAAGGTTGATTTTTTTGTGAAAAATTACTTGCAAATACACCACAATCCTACAAACACACTGAACTCTCTGTTTCTAAAAAAAATAATAATAATTTGATGTTCATATAAACTCATTGTTTGTGGGGTTTACCAATACCCGGACTGAATTTCTGGAAAATTGTGATTCCGCTCCCTTGAAATTGGCCACAAATAAACTATTTTAGTATTAATAAATGCATGATTTATGTTGATTTATTGATTATGTTGTTGCTATTTTTTAACATTTAAATGAAAAAAAAAAAAAAAAAGTATTATTCATGGCTTTTTATTTTATCTTTGAATATTTTATCGTTGAATATGTAATTTCTGCAAATAGTAAAATGTAAATGGCGATTTATTTGATGTTAGATTCCTTTTAAAAACTAAATTATTTCAGTTTAAAAAAATGCATATAATGATTTTTAAAAAATCAGTTTTAATACAGAACGGCGCTTTGAGACGTAGAAAGACCTGGGCCTAAATGCCGAAAAGAAGGTATAGTAATTATATGGCATACGACAATGTTTTGATTACACGCGAATGTTACTATTATAATGACGTAGCATTGTGTCTCTTGGGAAGAGGCCGTGGCCAGTGATGGCCGTCAAACTATTGGCATTTGCTTGCCCATGATCACGCGTCTCTCGGCAGGAAAATTCCATATGAACATCCATCAAATGTACATACGAACTTGAAGCTGTGCATTGACCCCTATCGGAAATCAGCATATTACAATATGTGTTAGTATAGTCATTTTTAATTTATTCTAGTAGTTTCAAAATAACACTCGGACACGACAGCAGATGTTGTGATCTTGTGCCGACATTAATCTGGTACATCAAAAGTTTGCTTATTATAATAATAGGCCTACTTTCAGTAGCTAATGTTACACATTTTATAGCTCAATGTTTGCACCAGTCGTAAACAAATGTTTAATTGTCATTGGATGTTATTGTATGTACGGGATAGATTAGGACAATAAATCCAATCAGACTAGAACTTGGTGACTGATGTAACAATCATAGGCGTAGATCCCGGGGGGATGGGGGATATATCCCCCCCCCCAATATTTGACAAGGGGGGGGGATTGTCCATTTTATCACCCCCCCCCCAATATTTTGACTATGTATGGGATAAATTGGAGTTTTACACACTTCAAAAGACTGTCACAGAAATAATTTGCACTGTTAAATTTGCGCTTACAAAGATGAAAATTAGCATAATGTATTAATGTTGATAACAAAATTATTTTATCTGGTACCAATCTAAGCTCTTCTTTCCTTAGATGTTAGATGTGCTTGCAAAGAGAGCCACATTTCACACTCAAGGGTGTGTACAACATCGGTATGTTATGGCAATTCCAAGAATGTTTAAGTTTATATCGGTTGATGAGGAATTTATTGATTAGGCCTATAATAGCAAATTGCATCAATTTATTTTGCAAAAACAAGAATTCCAGCTTCGGGGGGGGGGGGCACATCCCCTGTCCGCACAAGGACACATTCGCGCCAACACCAGGCGCGTAACAGGGTCTTGGGTATTTATTTTCCCGGTTGGTAATTTACCATACCCAAACCACTCCCCATATAAAAATCAATACGACATAGGGCTTATCTTATTTATAATATAGGCCACACACGTGTGTTTAAAACTAAATATAAGCATTTTTATCATGGTTTTATTTATTACAAACATATCCTTTCACCATCAATACATATTGAGGCCCTTCTTTTTGGTTAAAACGATCTATCTTAAATTTGTCTTTCTTGGGTTTGGGACTATTATTAGGCTTAAGTGTTTAAATAACTTAAAAGGATAAACCTAAAAAAGGCCTAAAAAATATTTTTGTATTTTTAATTCTAATTTCGTCGGAATTGATGAAAACTCCCTAAAATGTGCAATTTATAGAGGAAATTGACCTACCGTAACAAGAAATACGAGCAAAGAATTTAAGAATTTTAGGCACTTTCAGAGGATGCATTTGTCAAGTGGTGGGGAAAGACTTTCCAAAGATGGATATTTTTCCTTGTCCCCCGGTTATTTTAAATCTAGTTTCGTTGGAATTGATCCAAACTCCCTAAAATGTGCAATTTCTCGAGGAAATTGACCCATGCTAACAAGCAATGCGCGCGAAGCGCGCGAAATTTGGGGTTCTTTAGGCACTTTCAGGGGATGAAAAGGGCATTTATAAAGGGGTGGGGAAGATTTTTCAAAGATAGATATTTTCCCCTTGTCCCCCAGCGGTTAAGCCATCGGGCAGCATAGATCAAAAGAGTTATGACAGTTTTTTTGAAGTGGAGAAGGGTTGCAGGGTGTTGTGAGTTTGGTCATTATGACATCTTCCTTTCTTATCTTTATTTTTCTCTTCTCTTTTCCTTTTTCTTTCCTTTTCTTTTTTTCTTCTTTCTCTTTTCCTTTTTCTTTCCTTTTCTTTTTTTCTTCTTTCTCTTTCCCTCCCTCTCCCCTCTTTTTTTCTCTTAATATTACCCAGCCCGGTACGACGGCTTGGTCAGCCCGGTAAAAACCGTCAGGGGAGGGGCAGTTTCCCCCCGCCTGTTACGACACTGGCTAACACGCCAATCACCCCCCCCCCCAATGAAAAAAACTTTTCTACGCCACTGGTAAAAATAGCCACTACTAAGAATATTACGAGTTTATTTTTTTATTTTAAATTCCACATCAACTTTCGAAAGAGAAACCTTCCATCAAATTGACAAAATATCAATTTAGGCCTATAGGCCTAGGACTATTGCACAGGTATAAAAACAAGCACTAGGTTTGAAACATTACAGGCCTACACTGTAGTACATTGAAATTAAATATTACCACTTACACGATAAATTCAACGTAAGGACATGATGTGACTTAAATATACAGATAAGCTTAATAACACAATGAAAATGTCGACAAATTCTGGTAACAGGCCATAAGCAGTGTCATATTGATACCAATGGATAGTGACGTGATCGTACTACAGTATAATAAAATTATCGGAAAACTGAAAACTTTCAGAACGTGTTTTTTTTTGCACAAAACCAATATGATGCTGAATATATATTTAACGCTAATGGTTGAGACACTTCATTTTCCGTCAATATCACACCTTCCGACGGGCGATAGGATATGGGGCCTAATCATTCTTTATTGGTCTCATTCAAATTGGAAATCGGAATTTCGGGAAGGGCCCCTGGTGACCAGCGGCAGCCACAATGCAGCGCCACCCGACTTAACCACAACGGATATACGGATACAAACATTGTCTTTCACCCGCCTAACTCTCAATATGGGGGTTATTGGAGTAGCCAAGCTATCAGACTTTAATTAAAACCCAACGCTATCTGGGTTTGAACCGGGTCTTCAGCACAAGATGCAGGAAAATTTCTGTGCAAGCAATTTTAAAGGTCATATTGCTAGCAAGAATTGCTCCATGCAAAAGCTAACCATGGCGGGACATCAACCAATGATGATGATGAGGAGGGTAATTTCAGTAATTGTTGTTCATAGGCGGCGCTCTTCAAACCGATCGCCTGATAACCAACATTTATTTATTTCACACGATTTCAGACATTCCGTGTACACTTTAGTAAACTCAATTTTGGCTTATGATTCATCCGTAGACTTAATTTACTGTGCGTAAATTACTATAAACATTAA